CTTTTACAAATGTGGATGATTGCTGTTCGTTTAGAATATTTATTTAAGTAGTGACTATCGGCAAAGGTGTATTGTTCTGAGTCGGTTAGTACCAAGTCAGTTTCTATTACAGGCGCAATGAATACAGAGTTTTGTTTAGAAGGTATCGGGTAAATTTTAGTTGTTTTCCATTCATTGTTTTCTAAAAGCGGCACAGTTATTGTATATATGAGTTTGTTATCTCTTATCCATACCTTTAGTTTACTTAGATCTAGAATTAGTTGAAAGTTTTGAACTGAAGGTTCGATATGGTTAGTCATAAAATTTTGTCTCGTTATTTGGTCAAGTGTTTTTAAGAATTGTTCCGGTTCTATAACTTGTGAGTTTACGATTCCTTGTTTCCCTAGCATGACAGTGTTAAAAATTTCGTCAATGTTAATATGGAGCTCTGATATGGTAGATTCAGTTTGAATTAGTAGGGAGACTAATATTTCGTTTTTTTCATTGTGGTTTTCAATCTTGTGTATATCGTTGGCTAAGTTTTCAAGTTGATTTGTTTTGGTGTTGTCTAGCACGCGTTTGAGGAGTGCGGTTTGGTTACTAAGGATTGTTTTTATTTTGTTATTGGAATCAAATAATGTATCGATGTTTTTGTTAATGAGTTCTACATCCTTTTCGTCAAGAGTTCCGAATAAAGTTTTGGATACTGAGCCTACGACATTGAGCAATCCGCGTTTGCTTCTATAACGCAATAATAATTTGAGTTGCCGAGTCTATACTTCTATACTTAAATTTTAGGCTGCTTATTTCTGGTATGTAAGCGCAAGGTGGTTTACATTGACGGTCTATTAAATCTATTACGCGTTGTAATCTATTAACTTGGTCAATTGGATCGTTAAGACCTACTATAAGGGTGATATCTATTTGTTCGTTGTACAAATAGCAATCGTTGATATGTTCCAAGAATATGTTGGCGTAATTTAATGGTTTTACTACCAGATCGCTTTTAATGTACTCGAGTGTTATGATGATCCATATTATGGTCTTCTTCCTGAAAGGTAGGGTTTTAGCCTGTTACCGTAGATTCTTTGCGTGTGACCGTTGGAATATTCGATAAGATAGGTGGATGGATTGGATGAGAGGATTTCTGCAAGTCCTAGCCATTCGTGGTCTAGTTTGTTAGTTTTGCGATCGTTATGTACCCATACTTTATCTTTAACTCGGAATATCGTCTGTGTTTTAATCATTTTTCGTACTTGATCTCTTTCATATCGCTTTTTGTTAGATTCGGTAATTCGTGTTGCTTTAGCTATATAGGCGTTATGTCGATTTTTCCAGAGATTAAACAATTGTTCTCTGGTTAGGCTAGGAGTGGTTGATATTGAGGTGTTCCGGTTCTATAACTTGTGAGTTTACGATTCCTTGTTTCCCTAGCATGACAGTGTTAAAAATTTCGTCAATGTTAATATGGAGCTCTGATATGGTAGATTCAGTTTGAATTAGTAGGGAGACTAATATTTCGTTTTTTTCATTGTGGTTTTCAATCTTGTGTATATCGTTGGCTAAGTTTTCAAGTTGATTTGTTTTGGTGTTGTCTAGCACGCGTTTGAGGAGTGCGGTTTGGTTACTAAGGATTGTTTTTATTTTGTTATTGGAATCAAATAATGTATCGATGTTTTTGTTAATGAGTTCTACATCCTTTTCGTCAAGAGTTCCGAATAAAGTTTTGGATACTGAGCCTACGACATTGAGCAATCCGCGTTTGCTTCTATAACGCAATAATAATTTGAGTTGCCGAGTCTATACTTCTATACTTAAATTTTAGGCTGCTTATTTCTGGTATGTAAGCGCAAGGTGGTTTACATTGACGGTCTATTAAATCTATTACGCGTTGTAATCTATTAACTTGGTCAATTGGATCGTTAAGACCTACTATAAGGGTGATATCTATTTGTTCGTTGTACAAATAGCAATCGTTGATATGTTCCAAGAATATGTTGGCGTAATTTAATGGTTTTACTACCAGATCGCTTTTAATGTACTCGAGTGTTATGATGATCCATATTATGGTCTTCTTCCTGAAAGGTAGGGTTTTAGCCTGTTACCGTAGATTCTTTGCGTGTGACCGTTGGAATATTCGATAAGATAGGTGGATGGATTGGATGAGAGGATTTCTGCAAGTCCTAGCCATTCGTGGTCTAGTTTGTTAGTTTTGCGATCGTTATGTACCCATACTTTATCTTTAACTCGGAATATCGTCTGTGTTTTAATCATTTTTCGTACTTGATCTCTTTCATATCGCTTTTTGTTAGATTCGGTAATTCGTGTTGCTTTAGCTATATAGGCGTTATGTCGATTTTTCCAGAGATTAAACAATTGTTCTCTGGTTAGGCTAGGAGTGGTTGATATTGAGGATGGCATGTTAGCTTGTCGTCCAAATCTTAATTCGAATGGGGTATGTCCGATCGTCTCGTGTACTGAAGTATTATATCCCATGCATATTAATTTTAAGTCTTCATCCCAGTCGTTCTGTCGATCGGTCGTACAAGTTCGAATAAGGTCCTTTACTACGGCATGCGTTCGTTCAAGGGATCCGTTAGATTGTGGATGGAAAGAAGTGGTTTTTATATGTCGGATTTTGAAAGCCTTTTCAAATGTGTCCATCAATTTACATACGAAATTTCGTCCCATGTCCGCGAGAATACTTTTTGGCGCGGAAAATATATATACATAGTGATCCAAAAGTTCGTTAATGATTGAGTTGGCTGTTTGGTCTTTTAAGGGTATGAGGATGAGATATTTGGTTAATTGATCTTGGATAGATAGGATAAACTAATTGCCCCGCTTGGTTTTGGTGAGAGATCCGAATATGTCCATTGCGATTTTGTCATTAGGATTAAGGGGTGTGTCAGTTATTATAGGTTGTTCTTTGGCCCTGATACGATTTAGCTTTTCTTGTTGGCAGGTTTCGCAGTTTTGTATGAATTCTGTAACGTCTTGTTCTAGGTTCGTCCAGTGATGGTGCTCTTGTATTCGTTTCACGGTGCGGTGTATACCTAAGTGTCCTACTATTTCGTTATGATTTTCGCGTAGTATCGTTTGTTTTTGTTCGTTATCGTAGTCTACTGGCGGATCTTGTCCAAATATTAATTTAATTTGGGGGAATCTAGTTGTTAGAAACCTCAGCATAAGTTGAATATTTACCTTTTCTAACGTGCTGAAGCTATTGTCGTTTATTCTTATTTGTAAGCGTCCGGTTCGGTGTTTAATAAAGTGTTTAGTTAATTGACCCAACCAATGCTGTTCGTTAAAGTCTCCTAATTCGGTCTTTGTAATTTGTTTAAAGTGTGGTTTGTTAGGTTTTTGAGTTATTGGAGCTGGGGTGATATATTGGTTTTCCAGTCGATATATTCGTCATAATAGTTCAGGTTTTTTAGATCGGATCCAGGTTTTCTACATTGGGTTGGATTAGTGATAGGATACAATCGGGATAGAGCGTCTGCGGCTGTATTTTCTTTTCCTTTTTTGTATTCGATTTCATAAACGTACTCCTCGAGTCTCAAACGCCATCGCACGAGTCTCGATGAGGGACCTTTAACATTCTTTAACCATTCCAAGGCTTGATGATCACTTTGAATTTTAAATTTTCTACCAAGTAGGTATTGTCTTAATCTTTTGATTGACCATACTATTGCCAATAACTCTTTCTCGGTCGTGGAGTAATTTTTTTCAGGAGGGTTCAAAGTTCGGGATATATAACAGCATGGATGTCCGTCTTGGGAGAGTATTGCTCCTAACCCTTCGTTACTTGCGTCTGTCATTAATGTGAATGTTTTGTCGAAGTCTGGATATTGTAGTACAGGAGCTTCGCAGAGTTTTTGTTTTAGTGTGTCAAATGCAAGTTGTTGTTTATCGGTCCAATAGAATGGAGTGTTCTTTTTTGTAAGATCTGTCAGTGGTTTCGCGATTCTAGAAAAATTACGTATAAATTTTCTATAGTATCCAACGAGTCCTAAGAATGATTTTATGTGGGTCGCGGTTTTTGGCGTTTTAAAGTCTTTCACGGCTTGAATCTCTTTGGGATTAGGCTTTACTCCCTCTTTTGTTACTACGTATCCTAGGTATTCCAATTCTGGTTTCAAAAATTCGCATTTGTCCGGTTGTATTTTTAATCCTAAATTTTGTAGTCTGTCTAGTATAATAGCTAGATTTCGGTTATGTTCTTGGATGGTGCTCCCGAATATTATAATGTCATCTAGGTATACAAAACAGTTATTTCCTATTAACCCCCGTAGCGCGGTATCCATCATACGTTGAAACGTCGCCGGTGTGTTTTTTAGGCCGAAGGGCATGCGATTATAGTGGAAGTGACGTTGTGGGGTTGAGAATGCAGTATATTTTTTGGAATTTTGCTCCATAGGTATCTGGTGAAATGACGAGAGGTCTAGGGCTGAGAAAAATTTAGCTTTGCCCAAGTGATCGAGTATTTCGTCCGAATTTGGTACAGGATATGCGTCTTGGTCTGTTTGCTCGTTTAATTTTCTAAAATCTATAACGATTCTCGATTTTTGTTTGCCGGATGCGTCTAATTTCTTTGAAACTACCCAAATTGGTGCGTTATATGGACTGTCCGATGGTTCTATGATTTGTTTGTCTAACATGTCGTTGATTTGAGTCTCGATTTCTTTTTTATGACATTCGGGCGGTCTATAGGACTTGATGTTTATAGGTTTGTCTGTCTTGAGTGTGATTGTATGTTCTGTCAAGTTAGTACATGGTAATGAGTCTGTTTCCATATTAAAAACGTCTAAGTAATTGATGAGGATCTTCTCAAGGGGTTCTCGAAGTTCTGGATCGATATGTTTGGTACGTATTATTTGTGCGAATTTATTAATTTGGCTTAGTTTATCGGGTTTCTCTATTTCGTTTGTAATGTGACAGATTTGCTTACCAGTGTTGATGAAACATGCTGCTGTGGGCTTTCCTTCGATGTATTGGTTTGAAATTAAAGTTTCGCCTGGTCTTATCTTGTTATCGGTTTTCTAGAATGGTAATATAATTTCGTCTAAGGTTAGTTTATTGTTAGTGACGCTGTTTTGGTACTTTGTAAGGAATGGGAGTCCGATTATTCCATCTTCGATTAGAGGAAAGTTGTTAGGGACTGAAATTGATGATTTTTCTTGAGCATGGTTAAATTGCAAATTTTGTTAGTGGTATGTTTGTCACTTCCCATTAGGAAGGTCTTTGGGTTAGAGGTTTGGACGTTTAGCGAGGCTTTTTCTTTTATAAGGTTGATTCCTGCTCCGGTATCGATGAGGAATCTGGCTCTTCCTCCGTCTCTTCGTTGCAGTACGATTGATAGTAATCTTACAGTGGTGGTGCAGTTGACTCGAGATAGGCTTCCTCTGGGTTCTCCGTTGTTTGGTTTACTCGAGGTGGAATCCTTCCTTGGTTGGCGAATGAAAAATTTCTAGAGTAGCAGTTTTCGGCTGTGTGTCCAGTTCGTAAACACTTCGGACACTTCGGTTTCATGCGGTCGTCTAATGGTCGGCTAGGTAGCTGAGCAAAAGATTGTGGTTGTGGATCGGTAGTAGTCCGCTTGGATACTAGTGTAGTGTTGTGAGATTGATTCTTTGGACGGTTGGCGACACGATTTGCTTCTCGTAACCATTGTTCTCTGTCGGCTGCTAGTTGTTGGGCAAGGTTCAGGATCTTTGGATCGCTAGATACTACCATCTGTCCTATCTCGTATCGTAAGTTGAGCAAATAGGTTTTAAGTCCTTCGCGTTCTTCAATATCTATAGCTACACGTCGTTATATTGGTGTGCGGTTTTCGTTTTGAACTGCGTAATTTAATTCGTTTAGCTGTTGTCGGAATCTGGAGTTGAAAGATTGTACACTTTCTGTTGCCCCCTGTTTTAAATTCTTTAATTTGTCCCTACAATTGCTAACAGTTGTTGGTGTCAATACATGTTGTCTTAAGCATGAATATAAGTCTTCGAACGAGCTGATTTTTAGATATCGTATGTTTCGTTTCGCGTTGTCGGTAATCCTTTCGATCAGTATGAGATCTAATAATAACTCTCTGTCACTAGCCTTGCACCTAGCTCTTGCTTTGCGGACCGATAAAATGAAATCTTCAACGCTTTTTTTCCTTGCACCTAGGTTTTGCTTTGCGGACCGATAAAATGAAATCTTAACGCCTACGTCATCTCGACCTCGTAGTGTCTCGACAGTTCGTATGGCCTTATCTGCTTCGAGGCCTTGATCTTCATTGTAGTTGTTTCTTGGTTTAATCGCGGCGCGGTTAGATGCGGCTCGTGGTCTTTGTGAAGCGTTCGGTCCGTCAGTTTCGTCATCAGTTACGTTATCAGCAGCAGTTTCTAAATGGGTGTTCATTAGCGACTGGTCGGTCTTGGTATCGTATTTTATTTCCATGGTATCGTATTTTATTTCCATAGTTTTTGTAAGATCGCGTATTTCTTTCGAGCGGTTTCTATCACTAGTTTCCGCAAATTCCTTTATGTTTTTAATGTTTTGATCGGTGCTGTTTCTAAAGCTCTTACACTCGTGAGTTAGGCTTTCAAATTGTTCAATCAGGGTAGCGATTAGCTCGCTTTGTTTAGCGGTACTCTTGTCAGTTGGGTTCATGCTGAGAAATATGACACTTTCGGCGGAAGAAGAGTCACTATCTTCAGAACATATTTCGGGTTTACGGTTTACGGGTTACGGATAATGTACGAAAGCCAGCTTACCGAGATTCTTTGTAGATCCTTTCTTTTGATCAAGGAGGTGACCGTGGTCCTTCGCTGTAGAATCCGTACAGTTCCCGTTCAAGTTTCCTCTTGATGCGTTGAATGGATTCTGGCAGGATCGCCAATTTTGTCACGTCGATTCGGGGTAATTTCACGTTTCGCACGTAAGGTGAGAGATTCGCACTTCAATTATGATCGTTATTACAAATTTTAATAGAAACTGACAGAGTAACGATACAGAATGTTTTAACAGAACAGAATAGAATATCGAGTACTGACTTGGGAGGTATTTTTATATCAAGGGTTTGGTTCCTGTGGAGGGGTTATCGCTGGATGCCGGACACATAGGGATTCCGTTACTGCTTAGTTACTGTTTCGATGGCTAAAGTATGTGAGATATAATTATCCTTCCGCTGCATTCCCACGGTCACAGTGACACAATCGTATCCCACTATTGCTTATACAGTTCCGATGAATGCGACCCATCCTTCTGTTAACACATTGTTACTTACATTTATAATTACATGTTGATCATTAATTGTCACTATTATTATTAAAGCACTTATTTTAACGTTTCATCAACGAGTGATAACGCGTATTGTCTTTCGCCCAGATGTCATTTCAAAATGTTTCACAATACATTCAGGACATGCTGCGACGAAGCATGCGCAAGTGATTCGTACGGCGCAAACTCACAATACGTGACACGGGCAAGATGTATAGCTGCACATATGGAATGCTTTCCTGCCTTGTCATAAAATTCCTAGTCATTAGAATTCAGATTGATATAAAAATCATCGCAAATCATGTGAATTGCATTTCAATAGCAACATTCCAATAACTCTTTATATGTTCTCGGATAACGGGTGGGAAGTATTCTGTGCATTGGACCGTATAATTCTTCTCTTTCTTCTTGTTTATAATGTATTACATCGATTATTATGACATCGACACTTCGTCCAACATTTAATGCCCGTCTTAAATTTACTGATAGCTGAAAATGTTGCGCCATACATATTGAATATGATACAGCTTGATAAGCGCTTGTACGATTCGTGTTTCACAAGTTTCACACCACATGTCATAATATCATCCCACTGTTCTGCACATATAATCCTAGCCTCCTGTGTCAACAAGGCTCTTAATAACACCATCCAAATCATTGTAGCAATCCTTGTGAATCCTTTGCATGTACTCGAAGCAGTAAACGATTGTATATGATTGTATACAATAATATGTCCATAATTACTCGTGTGATTCATGATGGATAAACCGTAGTGTTACATCCATGAGATCATTGAATTTTTCATCTTGACCTTCTTCTTCATGTGGAAGACCCATATTTTGCAAGTAAGACGAATTATTAATGCCACCGTCATTGTTCATGTCTATGTTTGCTCGGTTCGTATTTTACATTATAACCTATTTCTTACATGTGCAACTTTAAATTTACTTATGTGCATTGTATGTTGTTGACGTTTGATTAACATCTTCTGTATATATATGTCGGAGATAAAAGGACATCGGGACCTCTCTTTTGGAATATTGGGAAAACCCGCAATGCCCTATTCCAGACTTTTTATAGCTACATTTAAGTAATAAAACTAAGAAATAGTTGTGTTCAAGGTTTATGACGATGGGCTTGGGCTCGAAGTGACATAACGAGTTACTGTACGTAGCTACGGTCACAGGAGGGACGTATACTTAACAGAGGTATGGAATAATTATGTAGCTCTCCTTAAAAATAAAGATTGACCCGAGAGGTGGGGAGAGGACTATATAAGGGCAGTTCCACTTGGACTAAGGGAGAGTCTATACAGAGTAGTTTATTCAGATAAGTTTTACTTGTACGTGTATCACATCGCATTCGTCATTCTGTTGACCGTGGATTCGTTATCGAACCCAGATTCATTGTCATCAACATTTCGACCATTCGATCGCCGCTACTACTTGTAGCCTCTTATAATAACCGCATCTGTATCAATAAACAGCAGCTATAACCGCGATTGCAAATTCAAGTGAAGACTCGTCAAACGCCCAAAATTCCAACATTAACCCGACATTAATGTCGGAGATGAAAGGACACCGAGGCCTTCCCTTCGGAATTTTGGGAAACCCCTTAACACTTTAATCTAGATTCTACCATAGCCGTAATTAAGCAATTGTTGTCATTCAATCCGATTGTAATTGTTCGACACTGGTGATAGTGAGCTCTGGCTCGAGGCGACAGTCTGTCGCCCAACGT